GGTCTAAATAAACACAAACGCTGGTGTTGCTTGAAGTCTGACAGCTCAGCACACTTGGATCTTCGATTTTTGGGGGTTTGGTGGGTTTTTCCGTTTGTTTTTTTAACACGTAAAGCCCCTTTTCGTGGAAAAACCTTGTGTGTGTGTGTTCCCTGTGGCACGGGATTGTGGTAAAGAATATGTATGGGTGTACAAGTTTCGGGGGGGGGGACACCTCTTTTGAAGCTGCCTGTGAGAAGTTTAAAGGTCCAGGTGGAGAACCTATAGCCAAACGGAAGGTGGACCACAGCCTGCCACGTGCCCGTGTGGGTAGAGAACAGCCTGCTGAATCCATGGGACCCTTGCATGGGCAGCAGAGCAAAGAGGGAAAGTGCTAGTTGGGAAGACTTAAACAACAGAAAGAAAGGCTCTTCTAATTAGCGCTAAGCCGTGGGGCCTGAGCAGTTTAAAAGCACCAGTGAAAATTGCCCAACTTTCTAAATGTTGGCTGTGACGCTGCGCTGCTGTTGATTCTAGGAGAAAACAAACCCGAGCAATTCTTCCAGGGCGTCTGGCTTCGTTCCCGCATTTTATATTTAGTTGTTGGCAAGTACGTCAGCAAAAACGTGCTCATTCAACCCCGAAAGATCAGAGGTGGCTTAGTGACATCAAGGAAGTAGAAATGGGTGGGTGCGTGTTGAACCCAGGCGATCCAGAGATCAAGTATTCCGCTTCCAGTTACCAGCCCTCTTAAAGCTTTACTTCCCCAGGAGTTAACTCTTCCGCAGCATCTTTTAGCCCTGCGGCCTTTCCCCCGGCATCGCGGTCTCCTCCTGCAGTGGCACCTTGCGGCTGGGCTCGTGCGCTGGCTGGTGGCCGCTCCCCTGAGCGGGGCAAGCAGTCGTGGGGGTTGCAGTGGCCGGCGGGGTTTTGCTGAAGGAGAGGAAGGGCCGCGCGGCAGGGAGGCGACGCGCTACCGTAGCTCTGCAGGGCAGGAGCTAATGCTCTCCAGACAAACCCTGGCGGTTGGGTTTATTTAGGTTTATGACTGTAAATGTGACGCTGATGATGGGCACCGTTCCCTGGATGAGGAATGGCACGTAGTGCAAGGATACAAACTTCCCTGCGATGCTTCTGTTCTAAAACCAGCGGGTTTAGAGACAATAGAATCAGAATCACTCCCCCTGCTGGGAGCTGAAAGCTGGCAGGGGATTTTGGATGCTTTCAGAAAAGATGTGAAATAACGTATTTCTAAGAATGAGCCTAAGCAAGTAATGTCAAACAGGTTTCTTCCCTTCCTGTGGACAGAGGGTAACTGAGTACCCAAACGTCCATGGTTGTCCTTCACGAGCCCTCACTGAGCCCCAGAGGGTGCGTTACAGATCCCTGGGAGCTGGACCCAGCCACCTCTCGCGTTGGTAGGTGTGCCTGGCTGTGTCCACAATACAGCTTGGATCCAAAGCCCCGGTGCAAGAAGAGTCGGCTCCCAAAAACGTCATTCCCATGTCTGCAGTGCGTGAGGCAACAGAGCACAGGCCTACGGCAGGTGGGGTTCATGGCTTCAGCTGCTTCTCAGCTTCTGCTCTCAGGGAGCATTTGCTTGCGTTGGCAGAGGGATGGTTAACACGCTGTGGCGGGGAATTGCAAGTCTGCTGGGGCTCCTGCTGCAGGGCATCTTGAAGCACAAGTGAATTGTGGCTAAACTTCTCCCAGTTCAGGTCTTGTTTTAGGCAGTCAGGTCACTTCCAAGTGAGCACACGCCAGCCTGTTACACCAGGAGCACCTGGTGGAGGAGGAACACTTGGTCTCAGACAGGAATACTCTCCAGAGCTGAGGAGTTCCCAGTGTTTTTCCCTTGTATTCTTCTGTGTGCTTATCTCCAGACAGCGCCCTGATCCACAGCTGCTGGGGAGCTGCAGACCAAGGCGCTCCTTGCGGCGCAGAGCATCTCCAGTTCCCAGCATGGAGGTACAGAGCTTTTAACTACAACATCTGGGATCTCCTGAACCTCTAGTGCCGTGTAGCAAAGAATATTTGTCTCAATGAGAAAAAGGCATCACCCCAAATTTGCTCTGGATTCGCTTTCCCAGCACCGCAATGAAGATCTTTCCGCTGCAAGTCTCGGGATCAGCCCCGACCGCTTTTCCAGGGGACAGAAGGGCTGTGGGTTGTCATCCTCTGCTGGAGCCTGTTGCTACAGCCGATAGCTGGGTAAGCGCACGCCCACCCCAGCCCTCAAACTCACTAAAGATCAACTCAGCAGGTTTTTTTTCTTCCCTTTAACAGAAAACAATTTGAAGAAAATGTCATTCGACACACGATGTTTCTTCAGAGCTTTCTAAAATTGATTTAAAAGAAATCATATTTCTCTGAAAACTTGAAGCAAATCCTCTTGAAATAAATACGTCCTTTTTCAAAGCAGGCCTGGGGGAGGAAGGTGAGAAAGTCGCTGGGGTCACATTGCCATGGCAAAGAGGAACAGGCTGCTCGGGGAGGGCTGAGCACCCCGAGAGGCCATGGGGCCGGCTCTGCCTGCCAGAGGGGTGAAAACCAAAGTGTCCTGGGGGTGGGAGGAGCGGGTCCCCAGCCAGGGCTGTCGCTGCGTGCCAGAGGGGCCCCGGCAGGGAGATGCTGCAAAAACCAGCTGAGCCCGACTGCGTTCCCTGGGAAGATGCAGAGAGGAGGTGGCATGCGAGCAGAGGGAGTTTTGGGGAGGAGAAGGCAGTTTGTGCTGCCAGAGCTGTCACCACCCAGGCACCCTCAGCCCAGCGCCTTGGGACTGGGGAGCTGGGAGCGGTGCCCCAGGCCTTGCTGAGCCCCCCCGGCCGTGCCCACTCCAGGCCCGGAGCGGCGGCAGGGTCGCAGCCCTGGTGAGCGGCGTGAGCCTGAGTGGGAGGGATGCAGCCAGGAACTGCCCCAGAAAAGCTTTGAAGGACCCTCCATGAGTGCTCTTGTGAACTAATACTGAGCAAGCGAGGACTGATACCACCATTATGAAAATAAAATGAGTATCGCTCAAAACACGACTCTGCTCAAGCACCTGTCCGGCGGCTCCTGGTGCCAGCGGGCTGCTTGACGAAGGTGTAATTGTCCACGAGTCCCCTGACGTGCTTGTACCTAGAAAGCTTGTACCTAGAAAGCTTTTACGAGGCTGATTTCGCCGCTGAGTAAACTTGATGGCAGCACTCTCACTTAAGGCCAAGCAGATGTACCATTCAACGTCCTTTAGTTTTATCAGTCCTATTAACCACGTCTGAAACGTTCTGCTCCTCGCATAAACAGCAGGGAACCTCACAAATTGTTTGCACCGGTTCCAATTTAATCCTGGGTATACGTGTGAGAGGAATGAAACCCCTTGTCAATTTAATTCCTGAAGATGCTGGGTGCTCGCTGTGCATTGCAAATCAAATCCAAGCAAGCGCGCTGGCTTTGCGGGCCCCACGCAGCGATCTGCAATTGGACCTTCTGCTCCACGCCAGAAACCGCAGCCGTGTCGCCGCTGCCTTTTCACTTGAGTTATGCATCCCCGAGGGGCTGCCTTCCCGGCGCCAACTCCCGCAGAACTGACCGACAGCAGCGACTCTGGCAAGACACTTCAGTTCCTCCTTGCCTTCGGTAGCTATCTGTTTAAAGATAAAAGAGAGAAATTAAAAAGAAAGAGGCAGCACATGCAGTGGCAGGTTGAGAGCAGGGCTTGCGCTGCCTGTTTTTGAAGCTCCTTTGCTGCTCTTGGAATGGGTAAGGGGCCAGGATACCAAAGCTTTTCCCTCATGTAAGTCTTTCTCCTGCCCCACCACTGTTTTTCCATATGGGCTGGGGCCTTCTTCCCTCTCTCAAATTTAGCTGAAATGAGCCAAATTCAGGAATCACGGCAGGGAAGGAGGAAGGAAGACATGACGGTGGACAGCCAAGCAGCGCGACTGCATGAGCTTCACTTCCTAAGGAAATGAGGCAAAAAAAAGATTCAGACGCCCTGGTCGAAGCGGTAGAGAAATCTGTATTCCCGTTTCCCTTGGCAGCAGTGCTGCACCGTGACAGGCGATCTTTTGTCACTTCTCTAAACAAACTGCAGCTGGGACCGTGTGATAAATCTTCCCCCTGCCCCACGCTGCTGCTGAAATAACTCAGAAGTGTCAGTTCAGAAAAGGACCTGCTGCATTTTTTCCCCTTATTAGCAAGAATAAGAAGCCTGCGTTCGATAATCTGGCCTGCTTGGAAAGGTCAACCTTTCCATTTTCCATCTGGATGAATTAAATGGAGCTCTGGTACGCTAACCTCACAGCGTGCCAGGGCGCCCGTGTCCTCCCTGGGTAGCTCTGTCCTATAAAGCACTGCAGCTCATCACATAACAAAACAATTTCCAGGTGTGTTTGGCTTTTTGGGAGGTATGTGCTGTTGCCTGCTAAGGGTGCCTACTGTATGCAGCTTTCCCGTTAAGTGCATCGCTGCGGATGAAACTTGTTGCAGAAGAGATGAGCGCACCGATTGCTTGGGGAAGCCGCCTGGAGGAAAAGCTGACGGGAAAATGAAACCGCAGGTGCCTGCGCCCGACACCGGCACAAGGAGAAGCTGCGTGGGAAGGGGGGCCAGGGACCGATGTTACATCCCTCGGGGAAGGGGAGCCTGGGGCTTTTCATGGCAGGCCTGGGTGTCTTGCGAAGCGTTTCCTCCCGCTCGTCCCCGTCTCGCCGCGGCTGCCGGTGGGGCTGGTTTCCCCAGGTGGGGTTGCAAGGGAAAAGTGGACCGGTGTACTTACACAGCTGATGTTTACCACAGGAATGTATCCATTACTTTGCTTTTTCCCCAGCTGTTGCTTGATTTAATAACTCGCCAGGCTTTTTGGGTGTGCTGGCTCCCTGGGGCCCGTGCGAGGCCGGCGGGGGGAGCGGGCCGTGCCCCCTCTGTGCGAGGGGCTCCAGCGCCGCGGGTCGCCCTGGCGTCCCGCCTAGAACGCGGAGAAGGAGCTGCCAGCTCGCCAGGTGCTCCGGGGAGGACGGGGCCTGCTGTAAGGAGCCGCAGGGCCGGGCTGCGATGCTGACGGGGACGGCTTTGGTCCCACCTCGGGCGCCCCAAGGCGGGGGGACTTGGCCCCGCACGGCGCGGGGG